AAAAAATAGCATATTAGTTACATTTGCAAATAATACAAAATAAAGTTCAAATATTTTGCTGAATTACAAATATTCCATCTCTTTCTACTCTCATCTCAAATGCATTTGTCGAAAGATCATTGGGAAGTATTCGCGAATTCATAGTTTAGTTTTCTCCGACCTCTATAAAATTTTTATAAATATCAAATCTATCCTCAAGTTTAAGAATTTCTTGATTTGTACTCCCGATTCTCTCCTCAGCCTCGATTATTACATTATACAAATCGGTAAAACTTCTCTGAAGTTTTGGGTTGCGATTCTGAGTTATCCTCATCAGAACCTGGTGAAGTACTCAACTCCTCGATAAGCCTTTTCAACATAGGTGATTCATGCAATATGACTTTTGATCCCTTCTTAACTTTCGTTTTTTTTCTGCTGGAGGTATTCTCCACACTTGGCTATTTGTGGGATTCATTCAGGGTTGAAGAAGTCATAACCTCATCTTGTGAATTATTTGCACCTTCCTCCACGCTACGGTTTTGCATTGGAAAGGTAATAATGGATCACTAACATCGGTCATGCCACATGAACAATATCACCACAACAAGCGATCTAGGTGGGCTTTTGTTAAAATGGGATTATCACATTTTCCATATGGCCCATAATCCGGAATAGTATTGTTGGATTTAATTGATGAAAAATCCGGCTCCTCGCGAAGATTGTCCTCTGGGAGATACTTTAATATATTTAACGCAAGTATGTTTAGGGCTCTGTTGCGAGCTGGTTGCATATATAAATATCACTGCTTTGAGTAGAGGTGATTATGATACCCTCCATATTGATATTCTCAACAGTGATCAGGTTTTCTTCATCAGGGGACTTCCTTTAGCCGAGCTCTCTTGGTTTTCCATGGTAACGTTTTCTGAAAAAAAGCCATATAATTTCTCGCTTGTTTTTATAGTGCCAGATCTTTCAGGAGAATCTCACCAATTTTATTACGTATAAAATTAGGACTTGCTAAAAGTTCGCTTGACCATACTGTTAAAATATAAGGAAGATTTCCCGCCTTTTCTTCCTATATAAATATTTTTTCACTTGTCAAAACTAAAACAAAATTAATATATAACCTGAAATGCTCCCTAAGGTTTATCTCGAAATCTTGAAATGATGATCATAAATGAAATTAGGATCATCAATGAAAAGATAAGTATTATATTGATTAGTATTTCTCAATTTTAACATGATACAGATAAAAAACCAATCAAATGTTTTTACCTCTTTTATATTTTGTAGTAGTTCAAGAATCAAATTGAAAGTTCTTTTGGATTATGACCATCCTAATGATAAAATAGAATCGTCAATCCGGTTATGATAAACCAGCATATGAGAAAATTTGAGAAAAAAATAAGCTATATCCATGATTCTGAAGATATGGGTTGTGATCTAAGAAAATCAAGTTCTGAGAATTTTTTAATAAAATTGAGAGTTTAATTGCATTTTAATTTTTATTACATTTAGATTAAAATGTAATAAGATATTAATTTTAGTCAAAAATTTCTCAAAACTTGATTTTTTTAGATCACAACCCATATGTCTTGATTTGGGAATAGATTCTTTCACTTCTACATCATATGTTTCACTACACTGTGATGATCGAGAGGAATTCATATATCAAAAAACTATTCTGAAAAGAATTTTTTTTATAATAAAAGGTAATAGTTAGTTAGATGAATCTTCCTCCAGTCTCGAACTTACAATACAATAAGAATACAATACTTATCTTCCTTTTCTTAGTCTTTGCTTTAGCATTTCAAGAAGAAGATTATTCTGAAAAAAATTTGTCTATTCCAGGATCATTTATCGGAATAAAAAAATATATGCAAATCTTACTTTATACAGCCCCTATTCTTCGATAAGAATTTCTCAGGTGGTGATCAATCTTACATGACAGAGCTACTCTACTGCACATATTATATTATTCACCATGAATTAATGACGTTTTATAACGTATAATGTATAAGTCATTTATGTGATTCGTAAAAAAAAGAAACGAAGTAATAAACCTTCAGTGCTATGCAAGAATACGAATCTACCTGAGCTAAAGATGCTTTACATAATTCTCCTAGCCAGATACCAGAGATATAATAGGACTCATCATTGGTGAGATTTTTCTTTCGTATCTTCCATCATGATAATAATAACCACCATCATATCCACTATTTCCATTATATCCATTATATCCATCATTATCTGAATTGTTTGCTATTTCTTCTTCAGAATTATTATTATAGCTAAAGTCATTATCATCATCTATTAGCTTTGCTAATACCTTTGATACTTCTTCATTCGTTACTTTCATTGATTGAGAATCAAATTCATCATCATAATATATCTCATCATAGTCAATATGGATCTCTGCCTTATCTGGAGTGATTTGAGATGTAGATGATGAATTTCTTCAAACATAGGCAAGGTTTTTTGGGACAAGCCATCTCGGAAATTTCAGTCACTTGATCTATAACATTTTGAATTTGTGCATTAGTTAATTTTGAAATCTCATTTGCATTACAAATAACATACTTAATTTTATCAATTCCTACACCATTCTTTTCAAATAATTTGCGAATTTATTTGGCTCTAAGAGTTTTAATCCGTAAGGCAACTAGTATAACACCAGTTAGATATTCTAACATTTTCTTACATCTTGCAGTTTTATTGGTAACTCCTATATCATAACAAACCTTAGCAACTTTATCTTCAAAATTATCTGAATAACTAATCTAAGATAAAATTTCCTCATGTCTAACCTGTACTGTATTCTTAAACAAATGGATTAAATTTTGTATTATGATTTGGTTGCAAGACACTTCAGAAGATTTTATAGTCAAATGCTATTCATTAGGTGGAGCAATGATACTACAATTTTATAAATCACGTATTAAATCAAGTTCTATATTCTGATTTTTAGTAAGTTCAATCTCATTGGAATCGTTAGTGATAGACTTAAGTTCCAGTCTTGGAATAGTTTTTTGCTGATCATTTCGTGTGGAAACAGTTTTATGTTACTTTTGATTTCATTATTTCTTAGAGAAGTTTCTGTAATAAACGATAAGTTGGAAGAAACAGTTAACTCACATTGAAATTTCTTCTCTACCTTATCTTATCACTAACCCTTTTCTTATAATATCATCCAAGAAAGCATATGTCTTCTCATCCTTTAATAATTTCTGATAACTCACAAGTGAAGATGGCTGAAAGACACTTTGCTTGACATTATTGTAACAGAGCTAGATATATTAATAATTTCCTTAGAAGAAATATCATAGGTTTGCTGTTTAATCTCCTCATTATTATATTATCTATTAGTTTCACTACTTCAATCTTTAGTTTAGCAAATTCATCATTGTGTTTAACATTTTCAGCTGAAGAATCCACCTTGCTTTTCTTCAACTTCTCAATTCTAGCCTTGAGTTCAGCATTCTCAACATCACGTCATTTACTCTCTTTCACAGCCTGTCTTAGAAGCTCAGCAATCCTAACCTTAAGCTCAGCTTTAGAATTAGTTTTCTCAACCTCAATATCAGCAAACTTCCTTTTAAGTGAGACATTTTCAGCCTCAAGCTCATCATTGCATTGCTTCAATAATTCTTACTCAGTTAATATGGATTTATAACTAATACACTGTATATGAGAATTCAAAATAAAAAAATCATGTGATTTCCCTTACCTGAGGTAAACGAAATTTTGCCAAGAAAATTTTTTATTATTACAATACAAAAATAAATACATAAATCAAAATATAGCCAGCAATACATATTATTTTTTGATAAATTTTTTGATCCTAGCTCTCTTGCTAGTTGAGGAACTATCAACACTAACACGATCCTTCAGCAACCCAATAATAATACCAATTATCATTTTTATATTATTTCAAAATAATTCAGGATTTTCTTTAACAGCGAATTTCGTAAGATTAATCTAATGCTCACTAGCGCTTATAAAATAAATACCATCTGGAGTGTATATGATAAAATGCCACTCTGTACCTGTAGTCACAATACCATAGATGTAATCAAAATAATCATTTTTAAATGCCTGATTCACAATCTATTTCTTTTTATTTGTCTAAAATGCGTTCTCAAATTGCGCCAGATTCTAAAAGATAAAACATGTTAATATTATTGAATCTCTAAAATACAATCTGAGTAGTAAACTTACTTAGGTATATCTAATTTTAATATTGCGTGGTTTGCCTTCAATAACACATAGGAGGTCTTCCAAACTTTTGATTATATAATCTACTTGACCCGTTGCATCTTTACCAGAAATATCCTTTTGTAAAACTATGAATATATCTCGAGAGTTGAGATTTTTAGTTATAGCAATGGATGCATGAAGAATCGATGAAATAAATTTACAATGAGTCGCCTCATTGACGTCAGTCATAGTCTTTACGTTCAAAAATTTTAAAATAATATCATCCATACAATAATTAAGCGTCTTATCATTATCATTAATATTTTCGAAGACTGTAGGAAAAAAATAAGGTTAGTATGCTAACTAATCAGTTCTGAAAAATTAATTAATTACTTATTAGAAGTAAATTGTTTGATACTCATTATATCTTCCCTAGTGATCTTATTTCTATGCAACATTTCTTTCAAATCATCAAAAGTTTTGAGTGAAAAATAGTTTCTTAATTTTTGGTTGAGACCTTCGATAAATTTTGCAAGTATTATTGTAGGATCAGCTTTCAAGCCATAACTTCAAAACTCTTCTTTAGTTGTATCAAGAAAGGTGAAACCAAAAATTTCTTTTTTACGTAAAATTTTGAAGTGAGACTCCTTTAGCTTCAAGTTTTTCTGTTTCAAATATTTGATAAGCTTCTCTGTATTAAAATCCTTAACCACGTCTGACATTGTTCTAGTAAAAATTTCTTTTGTTATTGAGATGGGTGAAACAGATAAAGAAGTTTGTAAAGACATGATTTTTATATATGCGTATTTGTACTTACAAAAAATATGCATTTGACTGCAGACAGGTAAAGCTAATTTATGGATATAAAAGTATTTTTGGTTTCTGACGCTCAGATAAAAATGATAGATTTTTTTGTATTGATTCATAATGTATTTACCCAATATATATGCAATTAAGATGTAGTACAGAACTGTCAGATGAATATATTACATAATTTCACATGACATTTTCAAGATTTATGAAAAGAACATAATATATGCTTTATTTAAGAAATAAAAATGTTACTGGGAAGCCAGCTTAACAATACATAAAAATTACAAATATATCATTTTACATGATATGAATAAAATTTCTAACTATTTGCTAGAGGGAGTTTTAGGGGTGATAGGATGTATAACGACTATTAGATTACTATCATCAACAGTATCAAAATAATTAAAAAATGCTTTCTTCTTATCCATTAGATTTTTTGGATGTATGCTATTTTTATAGAGATCAAAGTGAGTAGTATTAATTTCTCCTGCAATGTAGTTTTTGAGTCCATTAACACCGCAAGTCTAAAAGTACTGACTACGAATTTATTGTTACCATTTTTATGGTAAT